TCCTTCAGTTTGAGGTACGAGTAGAACACACCAAAATGGAACTGCTGTAGGAAAGCATGAACATTCAGACGAACCTGCAATCAATAAATGCATTACAGTAGTCTGCTCTGGGGGCTGAACCCCTGGTTTTTCACAGGAAGAAAGCATTTTAACATTAAATGTGAAATAAATAGGAAAGGATGTCAAAGAAAGCCGTTATATCATTTTTAAAGATTCTATTCCAGTTTGCAGTACTGCAGAAAAATCATATAAATCTCACTGCACTTTACTATGCTACTTAAGATTTGAACCTAAAACTAAATATACATAAATCAGATACACTACTACCAACTTAAACCCATGCAGATGGGAAGAGGAATAAGTTTTGTATGTTCAAAAAACATGTTGCCTGGTATACGTTTACCAGTGTTTCAGGGGTGCTTGCTGCCTCCATCATCAGAGAAATGGGTCTCATTGTGTGAATGAATCAGATGCAAGTGAAGAAAACAGCCTTGCTAAACTTTCAAGTATCATCTTGTTGAAGTTCAAGTTTTATTCAGTACAACATATCAGACTTAGTTGCATATTACAAGAATTTACCTTCAACAGGCAGCCCAAGCAATTAAGTATTTAATGCCTTTCCCCAAAATATATAAGCACTGTTGAAATTAAACTCCTTTGTGGTTTTGATAGTAAATACAGTTTGTCACAGACGATATCAGTGTGTGCATGACAATCAACCATGAGCTGTGCAACAGAATAGGTGTGTTAAAGCAAAAGAGAACTGTGATTGTAAAATGGTTCTGAATCTATCCAAACAGGACCAATGAGCTGTCACTTAATTCCCTGGTGCCAAGATGACAACCAACTGATTATCACAGGAGAATGCATGCTGTGTATGGAAATGTGTCTCTCAAGACAATGATGCTGGAGTTAACATCAGAAGCTCCATTCAGGGTGGGAGAGAACAAGCGATCAGACATGGCCAGGCCTCATCACAGCACCCAAGAATGTTGTAAGAGCAAAGGAAACTTTCTGTGTAGACAGAGCATTCATGAACTAGCAGTAAATTCAATGTGAACAATGGTGCAGTATACATATTCATGCAAGACCTGTGATATCTCAAGGTGTGCACAATGGGTCCCACAAATGCACACGGGTCACAAGCAATGGTATCATCACTGGAGCATTTGCAGCACTGTCAAACCAAGGGCAATGAGACATTGTGGCAAGTAATAAGACATGGTACCACCACTTGCAACCCATGGGAAAATGAAACAGAAACACCCATCCTCTCCCCACCCTAAGAAATACAAATCCAAGTCCCAATCATCTATGAGGAAGGTGATTTGTCAACATCAATGGACAAATGATGTTTGTAAGATTTGAGGTTTTCACAGCGGTGAGTATGAAGATTTCTGTCCTCTGGGTTGTTGTGCTGTGTAGACTGGTCAATGTCTCTGAAACGCTGGTTAACATTGACCAGTCTACACAGCGCAACAACCCAGAAGACAGAAATCTTCAAATGATGTTTGAATTCAAGGGTCCTCATATCACCATCAATGAACAGCGCTATTATGGAACCCTCCAAGACCTTCATATTATCTTCAACAGAAAGCATCCTGGCATTCTTGTAAGGGTTTTCTCATGTTGAATATGAGGCCCACACTACCCAAGAGGTACTGTGCTCCATATATTGGAAGGTATTGGACCATACCACGAACAGCCCAGACCTGTCACTGTGTTGACTCTCAAGCATTTGGACCTTGAAAGGAAGTTCTAAAGGGACACAGATTCTGGTGGGATGAAGATGTCAGTATCACAATGATGCAAAGATTTCAACTTCCATCAGCTGCCTGCCATAACACCCATAGTGATTGTTTTTAATGGCCACTAATACTATGCTCATAACAATCCTTGATCATGATTAATTTTAACAAACCTGATATCAATGAGTGGGGTTTTTACCAGCCATTCTGTATAAAACCAAAATACAGGAATTGCAGAAATACAGAACATGATTTGCACTTAAAACTGTTTACACGAATTTCTGAGCATTAATCAACAAAGCAACATCAACCATTTAATTTACAATGAAGTTTTTAACACTACTGTTTTTATTGCATATGCAGAAATGTATCTTATCCAATAATGAAAATTTTAAAAATATTTTTTTAAAAATAGTCTTACAGACAGAAGAAAAATTAAAAAAGAATTGGTCTGTAAGGAAAAAATAATAAGTGATCCATGGTGCTAAAAATGCTGGTAACTACAGAACAGACAGAGATACGTGACTGGGCCATGATTAGCTAACTTAAAGCAACGCAAATATAACTGCCTCCACTAGAAGCATTACGCAACAAACGTGCTGACGTAATAAATCATCACCAGAACAAACAAATGCAGAGCTGCTGTTAACTGCATATCATTAACCTTTTCACTTTGCTTTTGTACGTATGGAAATGAAGGATTTGACCTTATCAGCAGAGAATCTCAATATACTGCAAACTGTGTTCTAATCTGCACAATTATGAGATTTGCTAGTTTACTGCCCCATACAGCAAAGAAATATCTGTAACAGTCTATATTAATGATATTCAGCTTTTTTATGAACATTTCAGAACATCTTAAAGAAACATGCAACTTTCTGGTATGTTTTAAAATTTAACTCTGATACATTGTTATTTGCCTAAATGAATGAAAAGCAATTAATAAATGCATATAATTTCAATCCAGTGTCATATGCTGCCAGCAAAAGTAATGATTCCACAGATGTTTAATTCACTTTAGCATAAATGCTCCTTTCTCTCCAGCAATATTATCCAAAGGTTCAACACTACTAATAACAAAGCCACCTACTGGACACAATCCTGAGTCATTTCCATCCTCACAACCTATTTCCCTAACATGCATTATGCTACAATACCTCCTTGGTCTTCTAAGTTGCTGCTGAGATCTGCACGTTAACATTTATTAAATGTGCATCAGGGCTTATACAAGGTCCAGCTGGCTGTGTCACAGTAGCATACTGCCAAATGCTTAAGCTACAGAGTTGAAGTCCGGCCTGCAGCTTTTTAGAATGAGGATTTACATCCTTTACTCCTGTACAATGAAGACTAAAATTCCACAAACATATTTCATCTCCTCCATCTGAGCTATGAGCCGCGGTAATTTTATTTCACTACCTCAACAACGCTACAACAAATAAATCACAAGTTCCTCAGTAAGTTACATCATGCTTCATCCATTTAGGTTCTGATTCAGTTACTTTTCTTGGCACTTTCTTTGGCATATACACTTCACATCTAGAAGTTTGTAATCATCCTACACCTCAACCTTTATGTTTTTAATCAGTCACCCAAAGACAATTCTGAGCTAATGTATCATAATATCAGAAAGATTTCGGAACTCCATTACAACAGAGTGATTACAAAGAAAACTGTGGGATTACATTGGGGAATTTGACAACACTGTTTCAGTATTTGCCAGGAAAGAGAGTGGAAAATCTCCAACTGCGCAGTGTAAACAAGCAATCTTACAAATCAAATCATAAACATCTCAAATAACCACACATGCTACACATATACTGTATATACCTGAACATACAGTAATAGTTTGTTACTTTAATTTTCATAAAAAACAAATGATGTTAATCTTACATTCATGAATAAAGTAAAACCAATTCAATGACTTCTGGGACAACAGACTTTCAGCAATTGTGTCATATTTCAAAACTCTGGTATTCAGTCATATTGATATGAGAACATTTTGCACCCAACAATAATCATATTTTCATTATCATCACATGCAATGTATCCAGTTTCTCTATTTATGCTTCCAATGTACATCTCATAATAATACAAAGTCAATCAGATGTTCCATGTACTCACCTCTTTTATCAGTTCTAAAAAGGATGATGTGGAAGTTTCTTTATAAATATTCTCATATTAATGCTCTGTGGATACAAGAGTTTCAAGGTACAACACAGTTGTAAACTGTTACTTTTTCAATGCTCAGCAGTACTTTTTGAGTGGTGACTGTTTCAAGAGTTATATTTCTTTAAGTGTGAACAGTATGTGTTTTCATAAAAAAGTTAATCCTGTGATGTAAACATGGAAAACCATATGGAAAGTACATGTTATGCAAATGCCTTCATTCTAGCAAAGTGTATATAATACTAATTTTAAAATAATGATTATCATGTATGCCAAAGATGCAGCATTCAAATTTGAAGAAACTCGAGAGAAGTTCTAAGTTTGTACCCAAAAACTGTACCTACACGCTTCATCTTAAAAAATAATGCAATTATACTACCTTAAAACATTCTAACAAGAAAGAGGTGTTGTCCTGAAATATGGTACCTGTGGTAATGAACTTACCTCATGCTCAAAAAATTTGTCCTCTAAAGTCTTCTCGCCTGGGTTATTACCAGCTCCTTCAAACAGCGCACTGTATTCCTGCATAAAACAACTCAGCTTCAAAATTAACCCTTATGCTGCCACATTTGACTTTAGTTTTCCATAATCACGTATGACAATGTGGCATTATTGTTATTGTTATTCTTAATCAGACCTCAAGGAACACACATTACTACTATTCCTAGTAGTCACTACAAAATTGAACATATCCATTTACTCAATGGTTGCCTACTACCATTTTGTTCAACTGACAAAGAGAATGTTCCATCGTGTTCTTGACATGGGTGGCCAATGCAAAGGGAAGTGAATCCATATGTTTACATACTTGTAGGGAGTAACACAACAGTTCATCTACAGATTGAGTTATTTCACACAAATTGCAGCTGCCTCTTTGCTTAAGAACCACACTTAAATACATTACCAACTACACTCAGTAAAATGTACCTTTTTACTTCTCAGTGGACTTTAACTTTCAGATTTATCTTGCATAACCAAATTATTATTCTCTGCAAATGACCGATATCTGACAATGGCTTGAATTTTCATTCTGCTACTACTGGCCACCCATTAAAAAATGCCAAGAACTAGACAAATATCACAATATAACTCTACCATCCAGCAACACAACAACTACAGTTGCAATATGGCTGCCATACTACGCAGTCACCTTGTTTGCTCCGATGTGCACACTAAAATTCTTATTCATATATTTACATAACCTGACAGTCATAATGAGTTACAATTACATTCCTATAGCAAAGCAGTGAGAAACTGATGTGCAGCAAAAGGATTTAGACAATTTTTTGCTGTGCACATATCAAGTGACATGCAGTTAAATTTGGTTGACACAGAGCCACGATGCTGTAAAAACGTAGTAATTCCTTCAGAAGAAAAAGTGACGAAGACAAATAAAACAAAGTGTACACACCAGAACACTTAGTGTAAGATAAAGGATGAGCCATTATGACAGGACAATCCACCATGATCCAAACATCAATGGATCAATGATGAATAATAATCATGATGATGCTACAAAGAATGCATAATTTTCTGTTTTAACTCTCAGACCCCATGAAGCAGAGCTCTTCCATCAGGACTTTCTCAGGTAGTCACAAAATACCCCACCTTTTATTGAACCTTTAGGTCTATTACTGTGATTACAACAGCATGTTAACTACCTTAAGGGATATCAAACACCATGCTCCTACTCCTAAGTCCTTGTTCTGCTCCTAAGAAATAAGTTTTATGTATCCTGAACTCTATTAGATCCTCCAAAATATCATTCACCCACCACTTAATGTATAACAACACAACTTACAGCATAATATTCTGCTACTGCTTTCACTTGTTCGTAGTCATCTGCCCGGGCCAGTGCTGCCAACCCATCAGGATGCAATTTGCCACATCTCGGATACAGTTTGGCTCGATCGTCCTTTGTTAACTCTGTGCCAAATGAATTGATGGTTATGATGATGGCCCGCCGATCCGCTTCAAACTGAAAAATTAGAAAAATGTAACCAATTGGATTTTTTGAAACGGAATGATATACTGGAGACAATTTACATGAGTGTTATCTTAGAATAGATACAGATTATACCTCACACTTCAACTTCTATAAGTATATTAGCATGCAAATGGGCACATTCTTAAGATATCATTTTGTCACATGAACCAAGATGGTTCAGCAAGTACTACAAGAAAAGAAGAGAGGAAAGATATGACAATACATCAAAGAGGAAAGGCTAAGAGACTCAAGACTTCTCATCCATTGACCTGAATAAAATTAAGCTGCCAGTTTGTACACTGTATACAAGAACATTTTAGCATTTTGAAGTGATCAATTTTAAAGAATATCTTAAATTTAGGATGATACCTAACAATACAAACTGTAAATGCATCTCAACAGTCCTCTCACCCCCAACACACAGTTGTCATTTGTTACTTACAGCAAGAATCTCGCACATGACATCAGCAGTGGTGCCTCCAAGCTCCTTACAGAAGTTGAAGAATGCTTCCAGGTATGCCTTGTACAGTGTATTACGGATAATTTCGATGTTCATCTCATCCAAATCTTGCTCACTAATGCAGTCAACAAAGAAAGGAGCTGAAACAAGATATGTGCAACAACTTCATCTACAGCCATTAAACTTATTGAATTACTGTCTACAGCCTTTCTCAAATAGTAAAAGTCACTCAAGACTTTTCCTTGTTGTTACTGTACTGGAAGTGTGATATTGAACCTCATTCTGGCCAGTCCTATTCAGTGTTCCTGTCACCAAATTTAGTCCCTCTGTGTATAAAATCTTTTGAGCAGTGTTTTTTCACATATATTTCAATCCTAACTTGAAAGCTGGCAATTACTGTAATACATAAGAGACCTACACTGACATGAGAAGTACTGAATTATATAACATATAAAACACTATCATTAAATTGTTTAAGCTTTAGTGAAAGAAGGTGATTAAAGTTTACAAAACAAAAGCTGGAAGTGAATATATCCATAGATTACTGGTGTCTTAAAAATGTTCAAATGCATGGCTCTTCTGTTTCATGTCTAATGTTAGGCTTAACCCAACATCTGATACAGTGCAATGTTTCAGTCCTCCCAAAAGCTATGTTGGTGGGAACATAGCTACTGGTAGGGCCTCCCTAGCCAGATTGGTTGAGGGGGAGAGGTCAGACTAAGACAGGTACCCTGGTCCTCCAGGTTGGGGGTTGGTCGCAAAGCTAACAACCTTGCACCGTAAAAAGGAAGATGTTTCGAAACCTCAACCTCGGACAGACGGACCTAACAATAGGACCGAATGGAAGAGGAGAATTGAGGAGGTCATGGACCGAATACAGACCAGAGAGCCATAGAAGAAGAAGAAGAAGAAGAATGTTTCAGTCCAATTTCAGACTGCATGACTGAACCAAAAATTCAAACAAAAACAAATGGTACTGGTGAAAAATTGCATTTTCATACAAATTAACATCAAATCAGGTCTTGCACTGAACTCTGACCAACGGGAAAAAGCACAACAATTTTAATATTCAAACTAAATAAACTACAGCTGGCATTGTATATTAAAATCCATAAACATTAAATGGGGTCATTTTTTGAAGCAAGTCCAACAATTTAAAACTCAAATAAAATAAATTAATCTACCCTCACATTATGAAAAAAGATCCAGAATAAGCCTATCTCACCAGATACTTGCACATACCCAGTGGTGTGTCAACAAGCACTGCATTGTACAGCTCAGCTGGGGTGGCTGCAACATGAATGGCCTCCATCTGCTCAAAGCTGCCCAAAGGATGGCACTTGGGAATCAGCTCAGAAATGGGTCGGTGGTGTAGGGTTCCCGTGATTAGCAGAATGATGTTATCAATCATGTAACTGTAACTGCGTAACAGGATAAATATTTTCAATTCAGTGCTTCCTCAACCCAAACTTCCTTTCCGATATAAAACCCTTTGGGCCATGAAAAATAGTGATAGAAACACATGCCTAAATAAAAAATTACAAATATCTACTGGAGGATAAAGCTAAATATTCATCTCCACTCTCCTATATGCCTTCAGAGGTCAGGAATAACTTTATGGTTTTACCTTTGTGTAAATCAAGTGCCTCAAGACACCAACACTTGAAACCATGAAAGCTTTAGCACTTTCTGGTACTTTCAGAAAATAAACAATTACTACAGTATATCAACATCATTTAGATTAATGTTAACAGATTATTACTGGTAAGAATGATAAAATCCACAGAATCCTTGTAAAATAGTTTATAAAACATTAATCTTGCATCAGATTCTAGTAGTCTTTTAATGTTTGCCAACAAAAGCACATTCAAACAACAGACAAGAACACTATGTTGCATCAACCCATAGAGAGATAGTGGCAAATGTTCTTTCCACATCATGCCAATCTTCCATTATACTTGACAACCTTAAAACCAATTTTAAACTTTCTAACAAACCACATACATAATTTACAGTAATTAATGAATATTGCAAGTATGCACTAACATTATTTTTAAACACATTTAGTTAAAATTATCTGAATCACCAGCCCATGCAATGATAGTATCATCCTTACTTGATAGCTGATGAGGCCTTCAACACATTTATGGTGCACATTGTTACCATGGAGAATCTATATCCACAGACATGTTCTACTACAAATGGAGATGATAAGATTGAAAGGCAAAGGACTGCCATATCGAAAGTACGAAATCAAGTATAAATGGAAACTTAGGTCACAAAATAATTTTCCTCAGCCACACATTACATCACTAAAAATCGGGTAAATAACTTACGTTATAAAGTCCAGAAACGTTGACAGAGGTTCTACAGCATGTTTCCTCATGTGTTGAAATTCGATTACAAGTTTCTCACGAAGTTTGTCGTCAATGACAGACACTTGTAATGGACTTGGTTCATTAGCAAGAAAACTTCCATAATCCGTACCTTGAAGATGAAGTTTTAAATCTGAAATTTAACAGGTATGTTACTTGCAAAGTTAACAGTTGCAACAAAATTTAATACCAACAATCATATACAAAACTATTTCTCACCTTCTAGAGTTTCGCATTGAACAAGATTCAGGTAGTCCGACTGCCTCAAAATACCACATTTAAAGCCTCTACACAAACCTTCCAAATATCCACCATCGATATTAAACATGCAACCAATCATTCTCCCTTTCCTGCGTAATTTGAAGCAAATTAAAATGTATAACCCTGAACTGGCACAAAACTTCAATCACACTAAAGGTATTATCACTCGCCCCCTTTTAGGATCATATGACTATCGAATATGTCTCACAGATTACAGACTAAAAAAATAGAATATCGTCACAGATTACTACAGAAAATGAGACTAAATTTTCTTTGCTTTTCTGCTCGGATGTATTCCATTGATATCACACACTATTGATGTGAATTCACTTTAATACTATTCCTTCATTATTCACTACTAAACCATCTATTGATACTTTGGCATGAAGCATAGAACCAGTTTTAAGATATTGTTTCGCTTGTATATTTCATGTAGGCTTTCAAGGCTCTTTCAACCTCAGATGATTCCGTAAAAACTTGGTGTTTAAGTCCATTTAACTTGTACGGAAAAGACAAGGAATCGTGACAGAGAACTATTCCAGTATTTATATAATGAAAGGTTTTCCACGTAAACTAAACCTAGGAATTATTTTTCTGAACTTTTCTATTGACACATTATTTAGGAGAATGTCTTTATCACACGTCATATACTTAGGATCGACGCAGAACGTGTCTACCTTATTATTTTACCTGAACTTTAAATCGCAATGGCTAAGAACGGATATAATTTCCTCTATCTCGTTACGTGTGTTGTTTGTCATTATGCGTGGATTTCACGCTGTGCAAAAACTGACTGCAGAAAAAGCAATCGTTCTTATCCGTCCATTCATATATTTTAATTCGAAAATGCTCGATGGATTTTGTTGAAATTTGATACGAACGTCTTACGACTGGAGTCCACGTACAATCTCAGAAATAATATTCCATTGATTTATTATTTATTTAACGACACTGTAAGTAGCTCAAATTACGTAACATAAAATAACATTATTAACATATAAAGAATCATGAAGTATATAAAATGATACGGGCATTAAGTAGAGAAAAGTACTAATAGACATTGGTCGCGAGGAACTGAGGAAGCCCGCAAGAATCTGAAACCAGGAGAGCTGATCTGTGAGCCTACATTTAAATCTCCACCCCCACCCCCACCTCCGCATAAGAAGCATTAAAACACACGACTTGTAAAATTTCAAATGAAAATTATCTATTGAAAAAGCATCCAGTCTGGGAAAACGTATCTTTCATTAATAGCTTAAAAAATATTTTGACACCGCCTTAGCAGTTTATTAAGGAAATAATAGCGCAAAAAGACTGGTTTTAACGGTCAAAACTCTGGTAATATTTTTAATAACAGTAATAACGAAACCTTTATCAATTGGATCCCACTCTCCTTTTTAACGAGTCGTCGTCAAAGCCATCCTGGAGCACAGATCGCTTGAAAGCATTCAGAATGCCAGGGTGCAAATAACGCGTGTGAAAACTGGTACAGATACCTTTCCAGTCTTATGATGAAGCAGGTATAATGATAACGCATACTGATAAACTGGGCTGAAATATACCTCCCAAAGAGTTGTGGCAAGACAGCCATCTCTCTTTGTGCTGCAAATGGCATTCCCTGAAATGGAACCTACGTTTGCCAAATCTACATTTAAATTTAGCAGAACACAACATAACCGAGAAAATCCACATCACCACAATATCTTATGTTTCCCCCACACGTATTTTTTTTTTATTCTGTTCAGCTGTCCTTTTCTGTTTCTCTCACTCTGTGATATGTAGGATTCCGTGTGAGGCACTATTGGTTCATATAACCAATGGCGGAAGGCTTTGTCGAGTTTGCTCCGCCTTTTTTGTGACTGGGAACTAATCTCAAAGACTATATAAAGCAGCTGCAAGCATGGAGAAGTTCTCTGTTACTACAAATATTTGGAAGTGTGAGGTTCTACAAGCGATAAATTATGTCAAAGAATCCGGTATACAAAGTTGGTAAGTCTTCAGTGAAAGAACAATTTACAATACTGCGTATATATATTGACGTGTAAGAATGTAAGTTGTTAATGTATGACTGCCACAAACGGATAGCGTGCTTCTGATGTAGTTGTTGATGGAGACAAACAAGCTACTAGGAACACGCGGACGTGTGGCGCTAATTTGAATGTAATAACCAACTAACTAGGTGGCTTACGGAACCCGAAGGTTCATCACCAAATTAACCAAAGCCCTCCACCGGACCCAGCCCCGGGCTAACAAAATCCACTCTCCTTCAACTCCTATCTCCGATAATTTGAATGTAATGGTGTTTCTGTTTTGACAGCGGACATAAACCTTGCGGAATGGGGACGTAAGGAGATAATGCTTGCTGAGGAAGAAATGCCAGGCCTAATGTCCTTGCGGAAGAAGTATGGGAAAATCCAGCCTCTTAAGGGAGCGCGAATTGGAGGTTGTCTGCATATGACAGTCCAGACAGCAGTGCTTATAGAAACACTTCTAGAATTAGGAGCAGAAGTAAATACATTACAACATATTTGTCACTCAGTATGGCAAGAGAAAAATGGAATGAGAACTGTTTAGCTTAAAGAGTCTTACCTGTTGTAAAGTTACCCAGTTAAGACAGCAAGTAATAAGGGATGTCATGTTGCCTGTATATTTGCACCAAAGCATCCAAATTGTTAGATTATGTAAATGTTTATAAATTAAATGATGGTTGTGTACCACATATTCTATAATTTGCACAAACTTCATATTTCATTATTCTTGATTAGACTTATTACTGTTTACTATGAACATGAGAAACCTGGTATTTCTGTCTGCCAGTTCATCTTTCGTGTAATGGACTGTGAGAAATTATTATACTTTGTAGCCACCTGTGTAACATGAAAATTATAGAAAAACACTGGAAAAGCAAAGAAATATCATTTTAAGCTGTTTGTTTTTGAAATGCTATTTTTATGTGTAGGTACAGTGGTCTAGTTGTAATATATTCAGTACGCAAGACCATGCAGCAGCTGCAATTGCTAAACGAGGTGTTCCTGTTTATGCATGGAAGGGAGAAACAGATGAAGAGTATATCTGGTGCATTGAACAGACACTGGTGTTCAGTAATGGACAGGTACATATGAAATGAAAACTATACAGGCTGGGTTCTGTGATCTTTTGGCTTCACTACAATGTTGAGAATGATTAGAATAAGTAATTAGGGTATAAAGTGCTACTGGGCTCAATAAATTATGTATTTCATACATGTCATTAGTTTGGGTATTTACATATTTTGTGTAAAATGAAAAATGAGCATCACATGAGCCTTTTGCAAAGTTATATTAAAGCATTTTTTAAAAAATACAGACACACTGAAGGTATTCAAGTTTTGTGAATAATTTTTTTCCATTGTTATTTTCTCTTGTGTGTACCTACAGAAAATGCTGAAAGGTTGATAAAGAAGTGGCATGCTATTTTAATTTGGCATCAGTAAAGTATCTACTTGTATTGTTATAATTTTTTTATGTTGAAATGCAACAAGTAGTTGCTTAACCATTAAGAGGTGGTAGGAGAGGTTTGTTTCACTGATCTATCTCAACATAAATTCAGACTAGAAGGGCTACTGTTTTTAAGAAATACATCTTGTGTGCAGAATGGAAATGGGTTAACATGTTGTTGAACTTCTGAAGATGGTGTTTGTGTGTTACAGCCCCTAAACATGATTCTTGATGATGGTGGTGATTTGACAAGTTTGGTCCATAAAAAGTATCCTCAGTATATAGAAGGGATCAAAGGTATATCAGAGGAGACCACCACAGGAGTGCATAATCTGTATAAGATGTTTAAAGAGGGCAAACTCAAAGTTCCTGCCATTAATGTCAATGACTCTGTCACCAAGGTAATGTATTTCTTCATGTGTTATTTAATTATGCTGAGATTGGATAGTATTAATTAAGACATGTCAGAATAAAGTGGAAGCATTTTTGACAGACAGCCATGAAGATGTGATCCTTTATCTTGTCATGTGGGTATAGTGCTATAGGCCTCAAGAAATAGGATGGATCATTTTGAGATGTCTCTTAATGAAATAGGTCATAAGAGTGGAAAATGGAGGCAAGTGGCTCAGGATTTTTTCCAATGGATGGCTTTTGTACTTGGTATGTTCTGTTTCCAAAGAGTTAGCTGTGAAAGTAGTACTGTAGCAGTTAGCTTTAAGGAGGCAAGGAAAATGATTCTCAAATGACCAAGATCATTTCAATGGCCAAATACACTATTGGGAAAGAAAGGAAGAAAGAAGTTGTCAGTGGAACCACGGTTCTGGAGAATTTGACGTAAATACGTCATACCTGCTTTACAATTGAGTACAGTTTGATTAAGACATTGCTTATTTAACTTGAATTAGTTACGTTTAAGATGGGTCTGTGGTAGATGAATGTAATGTAAGGTAATGTATTGTATTGTAATTGTACAGATCTGAATGATTGACTGAGAAATGCATTACCAGACACAGACGGACAAACACGATGATCTGTGGTAGAAGAACAATACCTCTCGACTGCTATTATTGCAAAGACTTGGCAGGCTGGGGCCAGTTTGTCAGTCAAAAATGAAACAAGTTCCATCTTTACTGATATGCTACCTTCACAAGTTAATTTTGTAGTTTCTTGTATCTTCAGAGCAAGTTTGATAACCTGTATGGTTGCCGAGAATCTCTCATTGATGGCATAAAAAGAGCAACGGATATCATGCTGGCTGGAAAGGTGGCTGTAGTGGCAGGGTATGGTGATGTTGGAAAGGGGTGTGCTCAGTCACTGAGAGCATTTGGGGCCCGAGTTCTCATCACCGAGATTGATCCTGTTGTTGCATTACAGGCAGCAATGGAAGGATATGAGGTGAGTATCTGAACCTTAGTTTTACTACCCTTTATGTAAGCTTTATGCTACAGCTTACACAAGAATTAAAGTTTAAAGTGATTATGCTTTTAGAGATTGCTTTCTTTTGTAGGTGACGACAATGGAGGAAGCTTCTAAAGAGGGACAAATATTTGTTACTGCTACTGGTTGTTTGGATATCATTACGGGTGACCATTTTCTCAACATGCGAAATGACTCCATTATTTGCAACATAGGTCACTTTGATTGTGAGATCAATATAGGCTGGCTAGAGAAGAATGCTGTTGAGAAGCTTAACATTAAACCTCAGGTATAACTATGTAAACATGTTCTGAGAGCCTTAGAGTAGCCAAGGATTTTCAGAATGTTGCTTACAGTACATATTGTTACTGATGGAATTTTGTGTCATACAGAATTTGGATAGAAACATGTTATAAAACTGAAAAGAACATTTCTGACATGTTTTTGTGTATGAAAAGAAAATTGTTTTGTTAGGGTATTTTTGTAATTATAAAATTGATAAATATATTATCTCCACTGATTTATCACTTGCTGTATGTGTGGTCATATAAAATATATTTTATTAATTTTTGAGAATTTAGATTTTTTAAACATTGTTAAGGATATCTTTTTTTGTTTGAATTCCAGGTCGATCGGTACAGACTGTCCAATGGAAAACATGTAATCGTGTTGGCTGAGGGCCGACTGGTGAATCTTGGTTGTGCAATGGGTCACCCATCCTTTGTGATGAGTAATTCCTTTACAAACCAGGTTCTGGCTCAGATAGAGCTTTGGACAAAGCCAGAGAATTATGAAGTAGGAGTTCACATGCTGCCCAAAAAGGTAAAGAATTTCTATTATTACATCTTGGAACATTATTAACCATGATGTGTTCATACACAATAATGAAATTAAATGATGGGTCCTTAGGAATGACAATTTTTTTTCCCCTGGTCATACAGGAGTGTACACTGTACTGCATACTTAGGCAATGTCCTACTTAAGCGATAAGAAGCGAGCTGCATAAGCAGCATGCGGTGTCATATGACATAAGGGAATCGCTTGTTGAGTCCTACGTGAGAGAAACACATGCCCCTTCCCTGTACTGCACAGTCAGAGCTTTTCTGCGCATGCGCCTTACTGGCCAGCGCAGCGTCCTGCTCGAAAATATCAAAATATTTGATCTTGGACTTTGGCCGCCGACCACTTCGCTGTAACCTATGACAGCGCCACACAAACAGCCAGTTTGATATTTCCGCTTCACCCACGCAACTTGCATCGCTCGCATTTAATCGCTCACGTAGGACACCGGGTTAATCTTCAACTGCTGTGGAAAACATTTTCTTATTATTTAATTAATACTTACATGTTAAATGACATGTAGACATTGCCTGGTACCCACCATGGTTCAAAGCCCATACATACACACGGACTGACAAACATGATGCAAGGCGTGGGTGTAGTCAGGTTTGCTGGAACTTTTGAACACATGCACTCCTGTATTTAAATTTCCTCTGTCAACTGTAGAATGGAATTAAGTACGTAATGGAAAGAGCTGAATTATCTATCAATCACCTTTTTAACCTCTGTCCAGAAAAGATACTATTTCTGACCCAAAATGGAAGTATAAGGTACCACAGCCATTCTAGATTTGATGACAATGAAAATGCTCCTGCAAACATTTGAACCTAGCAATAAAAATACACTTTATTGTGAGAAGACTATGTATTCTATACAGTAGGGCACCGCTTATATGGCGAGTTAGGGACCAGACCCCCGCCGTAAAGCGGATCTTTGCCTTTTTTCACTTGCAAATGCATATCAAAGGCTAATAAGATTTTAACACTATCATATAGTAAGTGCACAATAGTGCTAGGCCTAAGAAACTTATATGAATATCAGTAGTACACACATTATGGCTAGTTTGATCTTCAATCCACACAACTAAAAGTTTTTCCATGTCAGCAATAAGGCTATCTCTTTTTCTTATGACTTAGAGTTCATTGGTGTGGCACTTTTAATTTCATGTAACACTTTCTCCTTAGCGTTCACGATGGCACTAACAGTTTGGCGAGCTAGGCCTAGCTTACATCCTATCTCGGCCATAGACATACCTTGTTCACAAAGTTTAATCATCTCTAACTTGGCATTTAAAGTAAGAGGCTTACGACTCCTCTTTTTATCGCTACTACCCTTAGACGCCATTGTAATTACACTGTAAATATACAGTTTGTAATAACTGAAAAATTGCCAGAAATACAGACACACGCGGAGTGCACAAAAGCTGTAAACAGATTGAATCAGCGACGAGAAAATGGCGCTGGACGCACTTCTCTGACTCAGCTGTTGAGCGCCGTATTAGCGGATTGCCGTAAAGCGGGGCCCTACAGTAGGTAGTTGACTTGTCTACAGAAGCACAAGGGCTTTGAAATTTTAAACCTGTAGCAATAGCAGTAATATGTTTTACTAAAAAGTGCTTCTTTGCAGCTGGATGAAGAGGTGGCAGCACTACACTTGGACCACTTGGGGGTAAAGCTGACCAAACTGACCCAGAAACAAGCAGATTACCTTGGCATTCCTCAAGAAGGCCCATACAAGCCTGATCATTATCGGTACTAGAGGAATCACATTGCCTCCACTTTCTACTGAGTTTTAAAATATCATTCCCACCCAAAGAATGATTTTATGTATGGCCAGGATACTTCTCTCATTCAGTTTTACTGTACTTATAATTTGCTTTGCATAATATATTAACTTTTTATTGATTGTGCCAGTGAAATTGTATATTTTTTGTACCATCTCCATATCCCTCATACAGTTTCCAGGCTTCTTTAATGTTGACAGTTTTTACTGTGTTCCAACATCAGTAGAATTTCATTTTTGAAGTTAGATAAGATGGTATATATGAAAGACACATTGGTCCAGTCCTGTGACTGGAAAGAGCTGTTTGGCATGATACATTTAGTTTGGATAATGAAGTTAAGATGGGCCAACTCTATGGCTAAGAGTCAGATCAAATTTTGATTCCTGGCAGGGAGATGAGACTTCACATTACATCAGGCATTAGGACTCATTTCAGCCCCCTATTCAAAGGGTATGTGGGGTTAGGCAGGCAGAGTGAAAGTGACAACCTACTATCAGTAGGCCTATATACTACAGGGTCTACATTTGGGCTACAAGTTGCAGCACCTATGCAGGGTAGCAGATGATAAATGTACCTTTTGCTCAGCAAAAAGCTACCACAATGAGAATAAACTTTAGAAAGTGTCAGTCAGTATAGTGACTGGATTACTGGAGTTTGATCCTCAATGGGGGCAGAAGATTTTCCTCTAGCCTCTGCATCCAGGCAGGTTCTGGGGCCCACCCTGCCTCCTGTCTATTGAGTACTGGGGTCCTTTCCCAGGGGTATAGCAGCCTAGGTGTGATGCTGACCACTTACCCCCATCTAGTGCCGAGGTCAAGAATGAGTAGGAGCTATACCTGTCTTTCTGTCATCACAATTCATTTCCTATCTGGCTTTCTGTCTAGCAATGGTCCCACTGTTTCCAGCTTCTTGACCAGGTAATGTATATTTTATCTACTTGAAAATGGTTCTCCTGAAAAATTGTGTCAAAATTTTCTGTCAGACTCGTACCTGAAACAGTGTTACACTAAACACACATACTGTTCAATAGTATACCTCACTTCGGCCATGTTGTGGTTAATGAGAAATGCATCAATAGATGCAAACGAGATGATTCATGGCAGATGTACGTATATCACAAACTGCTACTGCTGCATAATTCAGTAAGTTGTGGCCAGCCTTGGACAAACCTTTGTATTCCTTTATGAGCAACTATAACTGTCAGGTCATACATTCATACCATCCTCTCTGCAGCAAGCCAACAGCATCAAAGTTCATACTACACATAAAAAACATACATGAGATCTGATGTTTTCTTGTTGGTGAGAGTTAAAATTGTCTTCTGGGTTATGACAATGTGTGGTCACAAGACTATATACATTATCCTCTTTCACAACCCAAAAGGCACAATCTCTAGCATTATACATGTGTTTACTGTAAACCAGCTTTATTGCTGTCCTCACTACAAGCTAATGCAACAAAATGCCTGAGGTCTTCTATTTCTCTTCTCCCAATTCCTGATATTTAATGCTTATATTTTTTTTGTGATGTCATACAGATTACAAAATGTCAATCAGAATCTAATTTACTGTGAAAGTGACAACTATCTTTGGAAAAAGACTAATGAAAGCATAAATGTAAAATGTGTTATACTCCAAAACTGTTATCTGTAAAAGCAGATAATTCTTTTAACAAAATCTCAAGAACCACAGTGCACTTGAGATATAACTTAACAGTATTTTTACTGAAGACCTGTGAATACATTTCTATGGAAGTGAGCTATGTAGAAAAGGATGGAGTGTCCTTCACTTTACCAAAGAAGTCTAGCCAGCATATTATATTCAATTAAGCTGTTGTGGAGGATGTTATACACAACAATAACTTATTTATTAATATCAACAATAATGTTAATAAATAATTATTGTGTGTGATAAAAGTCTACAATTTATATTATATATATTTATGGGTAACATATCTGGCAGGAAAGCCTACAATGTCAATATAAGAACATACATGGACTTTGGCACTCATAATAATTAGCTACTATTAACTATGAAATAGTCACTACTTAGTAGGAACAACTGCTTATTACTGAACAATGGGTCTGTAAAGTTATTGCAGATGGTATAAAATCAGACTTCAAATGTCATTTGGCAAGATTGTAGTGCAGGTATGAAGCCTGCAGCATCACACTTGAATCATATATTACATAGATATTTTTGGGCTTTCTATTCTGTTGTAGTTCATCATCATGTACTAGTAAATACACTTTCTACAGTGGTTTTGCCATGAGTCAAATGAGTAAGAAATTTCTGTTAAAATAATTACAATGTCAGATGGCCCACATAAAGTGGCAAGTCTCTGGAAGGTTTACTGTTTGTTACTCAGGAGAAAGGCTTTAACCTTAGCAGCGTGGATCCAGTTTAGAAAACATGCACAGTTAATGTCTAAAATTTCTGACACAATCCATGTGTGTTTTGCTGATGAAAACCTACTTACAATGTAACAAATTAACTAAAAACACACACACCTTGCCTCAAAGCTGACTGTTAATACTAAAAGTTAGGGAGGGGGGGAGTCCTTGATGCTGTCAATCTTTTGGGATATTATTATATTAAGTACATTTTTCTCCCCCTTTTATAAAATTCACCAGTTGTAATTAGCACAAATTACATACTTAGCAATTCTTACAGTATTTTATGACCACACATTAAGACCATGATCATGCACACAATTAGACATCAAGAAAACCTTCACTATTATACAAACTGCCTTTCTAGAGCAGATCTGCTCAGTCCACAGCTTCCAGATGCAGGTAAAACCTATTTTTAGAAATCAGTGCCAAAATAAGAACACACACACACAGGATGAGCCAGAAGTATGTTTACAACCTTCGCGTGCGTGTTTCGGAATCAAAAACAAGAAAAAAATGTTCCTATAAACATGGGGTCGCAAATGTTTCATTTTTGAAATAGCCAAAAATAAGTTTCAATGTATGCCTTTATTGCCAAGTATAAGAGCAGGGAGGTTTCTTTATAACAGACACTACGGTTGCTCCTCCATTCTCCACACATGCACGAGCACGACGTACACAAGACTGACAAATTCGTTCGTACACACCAGGGTTTCCTCGAATCATCTGGCATGCATTCTGCACACGTTCCCATAGGTCATCATCATTGTTGCATAAACGACAGACTTCAAGTCACCCCACAGATAAAAGTTCAATGGAGTCAGGTCCGGTGACCTCGGTGGCCATGCTACTGGGCTACCACATCCAATCCATCACTGAGGGTACTGTTCATTGAGATGATCTCTGACGCGATGGGAGAAGCATGCTGGGGCTCTACCGTGCATAAACCACATTTGTCTTCTTGTATTCAGTGGTACATCTTGAAGGAGACGTGGCAAGTGTCTTCTTAAGATTCACCGATATGAAACATACTTCTGACTAACCTGTATATATGTGTGTGTGTGTGTGTGTATATGTATATATATAAATAAATAAATATAAAGCATATTTCCTTCCTGAAAAATGTGTCATGTGAAGGGGGTCATTATGTGAATAAATATGGCACACCTAAGACACATATTCTGGTTCGGTTTTGTTACCTCAGTTACCATTATTCTTAACTTTCATTCATTTATAGTTATGTCTCTTGGCCTTTTCCATGCGGTGACTAGTTGCAATATAGTTAAATATTTCATTGCATGCCAAACTGCTTTGTGAACTTGTATGTATATACTGATTTTGAATAATTTTTCATATTTAATTAAACTCATTTAAATAACTTTGCAACATGCATTTAAGTTCATGGACAAATTTAACAGGTCACATTTTAGGAATGAATAATACATGCAATTATCACTTAACATTATCAGTTAACTATGTATTATTTTTATGTTACTGGCAAGCTAGGGATTATTACCACTTACATGTCACTTGATGAATTTAAAAACACTGACAAAAATTTGTACCATCATTTTTAGTTATTCATATGCCTCAAAAGTTGTATTTGAATCATACTCCTGAGCCTAACCGATTAATCTTGATAAATGCTGACAGAACAAAAAATTTGTGTTCATGCCACTGAATACCGCTTCTTTGTTGCAACCAATGAACCAGGGTGTGATTGCTGTATTCAGATTATTTCATAGTTGATCATGGCAATAGACAGGTTAGATCATCCTACTGCCCAGCAGTTTTGGAAAATGTATATCATAAATGCCATGGTCATTATACAGGATGCACTGCTATCCAATGAGATAAGATTGGAGAATATGGAAACTGAAGATTTTGGTGAGTTTCTTGAATTTCACAGTGAAAAACTGTCTAGTTAGAACTTGGATTAAATGGAATAGTGAAGAACACAAGACAAGGAGGACCACGATGATAAGGCAAGACCCACTTAAGATTCTCACTTTAAAGTTTAAGCCTAAAGTCTGCCATAAAACTGAAGATGAATCACAAAACATATCATAAGTGAAACTCTGAAATCTCCAAGGCAGTCAACATTGCCACAGCACGACTAGTTAGTTAGTACAACAAGAGCAGCTTATACGCTGGTAAGGCACTCAACTGAGTGGTTTACATCTGCACTTTGTTTCCTAAATATTTGATATTATTTCACTTATTTAATTGAACTATACTTTTTCAGAGTACTGCAGTGGCAGAACATGTCTAATCTATTTCAGGAAATATTCAATCTTTTTATGTTGTATCACTTATGTCATGTTTTGCAGGAACATAACCCCAATATTAACTGATCATTGCTTGTAAATAACGAGAGATGACAAACTACCTAGACTGAAGATTGTCATTTAAAAACACTATTTGCAAATCATGGCCAATACAAGAGAATAAATTAATGAAATATCATAAAATGCCCTGCCATGTTAATGTAATAGAATGAAGATGTCATTTTACAGCTGCACTAGTCTGCAATTTTTGAAGCTGCTGCCGGAGCTCCTCAATCTCATGATTCTGCTTCTGTATCACTGCAAGCAAGTGTTGAACTGTCTTGTTTTCTCCATCTATACTTTCAGCATCATTTGTTTCCTTTATTAGTGGCACAAGCATCAACTGAAGCTCACTGGCAGATGGTCGATCTGAAGGTGAAGCAGACACAAGGCGACCAATCAGCTGGGCCTGAACAAACAAACAATGTTCACTTTATTCATCATATAATCCATCAGCATAGGACCAAGGGATAAACCAGGCTTGAATCTAAGAGGTGTCTGGTCCAATCTGGTCTGGTGACATTCTATCCTGTCTGAAGCCTTTTGTACTGATTTCCAGTTCTTCAGGTAAATGTCCCAAACTTCCATCAACATCCTATAACTATTACACCAATATTATATTTGACATACATGTTTCATGAGATGTGCATCTGGGCATCATAAATTAATCTTTCTCACAGAATGATGAAGATGTTAGCTGTTGTATCCCGAGCTGGGATAGGTTGGCAGGGCGAGCAGATCCCACGGGAGGCAGTTCTGGCTGATCGAAGTACTGCAAGCTGGAGGTTAACTTGAGAGTTTATTACAAATAAATGTGGTACAAGTTGTTTGAGAAACCCAGGAGTCAAGAAGTGTTGATCTGCCTAAGCACGGGCAGTGCCAACTTCTAACAAGAGTCGAGTTCTTTCCAGCGTGGAGACGACCTAGACTCAAGTTCAGAGAGTAAATAAGGGTGGTCGGTTGTCTTGGTTTTATATAAGTTTGGTGACGCCGACTTTCTAAATATGGTTACAAAATAATAGTTTCTGTAAAGCTTGCTTCATCTCGGTACTCTGCCACTGCGTATAGGAACTTTGGCTTGTTTACAGTGTGTCCTATCACTATTAGTTGACCAAGAAGGATGATTTGGAAATCAAGTAGAAACATCCTGCTTTCCCTTAGTGAAGATAACTTGTTTGTAGCTTATGTTGAAATAGCACTGGGAGAGTACCGATTACAAAATAGTTACAATTGCAGCTTAGTTCCTAAAGATATAGGAGAATATACTCCTTTTAACATATATTTCCAACAAGAAGACACAGTCTCACATTCCTTTTCTTTTGAACGTGGAGGGAGTTATATAAAGGATGAAGCTTAACCACTGGAGCACAAATGATGACAGTTAATTACTGGTTAGGTGTATGCTGAACTACAAAGCTCAGATGAAAATGATAAACCCAGGATAAAAAGGTATACTGTTATTTGTATATTACAAATTGTTTTGCTTCTGTATTACTATACAAATATTTCAGTTTTAAATACTGGCATTCTTTAATGGGAATCCTATTATGTATCAGAGAACTACTAGGTATGGACCATATTATGAATAATTTTATGTAGTAACAGAACAGAATATCTTACATACTTCTCTCTGGACATACAATTCAGCTATAAGTTACTGATGCTAAGAAGATTTTTGAGACCAAACAAAAATTGCACATAAATTCATATTGAATAAGTCTGCATATACAGAATTTATAAGCGTATTTGAAAGCTCACCAGTTTTGGTACTGTCACGGTAAGCTCTGAAGGGATGTGGCCAGATCTGAGCTGCATGATAACCTTGTAGCGCTCCATGTCTGTACTGAAAGGCTGCAGCAGCTCAAACAAGACAATCCCCATGCTGTACAAGTCACTCTAGAAGTTTAAAGAAGTTCACAAGTCAGATTAGCACTCTTCTAAATGCACATCAAACAAATTAGTATATGTGTTCAAAATCACACTTACAGAGGTTGGCAGAAATATACGTTAAAGGAAGTCACAAGACACTATGGAGATTTAAACAGATTACAAGAACTGAAAATTAAATTACTACAGACATAAATCCAATAAAGAACACCAAAGTCAAAACCAGAACTTTTGACAACATATGAAATCAGGAATACTATAGGGAAAGTTGGTTGAATTAAGGTTACAGTGGTAATGGGTGTGTGGATGAAATTAGAATTCCTTTGAAAGTTTCAGAAATTAAGCTGTTAAATATATAACCACTGGCAAGAGAAATTACAAGGTGGAGAAACCAAATGAAGGAAGATAAATGAGACAGTGGGGGGATAAGATGGGCCAAGGCTAAGAAGCATTTATGGGGGAGAGAAAGAATGAGAAGGGCCTGTTATAGGACAACTCATCCTGGTGGAAACATCATGGAATTATGATGGTCATGACAATGATGACAAATCAGTAGTCTTAGTCTAGGAAACAAGGCATGAGTACCATGAATTTTCACTGGAAGGGAAAATTAAAATTTTTTACAGGAACATGACACTTTGTAATTAAAATTATCATAGTTTCACTAATGACGTGTATAGAAACTGTCCACCTTGGCCAATACTTGTTGCTGATTCCGGTGACACCGCTGAGTTGTACTAGATAATGAGGTGTATACCATGTCTCAAGAGGTCTCATGGTGACCAAATTGTCTAGAATTGTCTCTATCCAAATGTGTAAAGAAGACTGTGTTTGCTCACCTTTGAATCACACTTCCCTCTTAGCTGCTCTGGCGCTGCATACAACTTTGTCCCTATCTCTCCCTTGTGCATGATTGGATGCTCAGATGATGGCTGCACCATCAATGTCACATCATCAGAAGAGTGTTGTAGACAACAAGCTAGGCCAAAGTCTCCAACCTGAACTTGGCTCAGGTTGTGGTTCACAAAAATGTTGCTAGGCTGGAACAAGCAGCATCCACATTATAATCCATACCTCTAAAGGGTGCATTACATTCAATATTGCTGTTTTCCTGGATGTGATCCACTATTCAGTAATCTAAAATGAGATCACTGCTCCTGTCTTGAAGTCAAAATACCTAGTCCTTGTCTGAAGACAGAGCACAGCAAGCTTTCAAAAACTAGTGATCTCATTTTAGAATAATGGATCATGCCCCCAAAGAGCAGCAAAACTGAATCATTCTTTCTACAATAAAAATGTTACCGTGCTGGATAAGATTATGGTATTACAGACCATCGGCCTGCCAACAGCAGCTACATACTTTTGGTGGTAGATGAATGTCAACAATATAATAAAAATGTAGGCCTAAATAATTGTGTTCATAGAAGGAAAGACAAAACTGCTGCCTATACAGGCACATCCAGAGTCTTTTAAAGAACTTCTGACTGAGAACAAAGAGAACCTTAACAATACATTAAATATTCCTGCTACTGTAACAATGCTTTCACATTCATATCACATTATGCAAGTCAAGAGAAGCATCTGCTATTTTTCAGCTTATGATATTTCAGCAAGAGTTCTTGCATGTACTGTATTTACTTGTGTACTCCACACACACTTTTTTGAAAATAATTTACCTGTAAAATGGGGTGCATGGCTTAAGAGAGTATGAGTCATTGCATACCTAACTGAATCTCTCTACCAGTCCCTTGTCCTTTAAAAGCAGGGCTGACCATTACCTGCTTCACTTATCATTTGAAAAATGAGTAGGAAGATTATGAGATTATGGTCTTCCATAGTGAGTGAAAAACTGAAGACAGTTCGAATGGCTGAGGAAACTGGAAATCAGGCTGCCAGGAGAGGGTCTGACGTCAGAGAGGCTTGTATAAGAGACTGGAGGAAGAAGAAGGATCTTCTAATGGAAACTGCAAGTAATTGAAGAAACTTCAGAGGATCCAAACCAAAGTTTGAGGACTCAAAGAGAAACTAGTGAGCTTTATTTGCAAGAAGCAGCAGTTCGGATACTCTGCATCAATGGAAATGTGTCAGATGGAAGCGCTGGAAATAAGCCAAGCAGGTAACAAATTTTAAGACAAGTAAAGGATGGTTGGTGAGGTGTTTTGCACATAATAATTGAACCATAATAAGACAGAACCTGATCACACAGATGCTACCAGATGCATATGAAGGAAATATTATGAACTTCTTAAAAATTTTTTTTTACTTCCTTGAAAAATGGGGTGTGTGGCTTACAAGCAATTATGGTATTTTGTCATTATGGACTGCTGATAATGAAACTAATCTTTCTTTCATCTATAGAACTATATGCCATCTGTATTTCCAATAACTGTACATGCAATTGTAAGAAATCCTTGCGCACAGAAATATAAACAATTATAAGAAGTTTACGAAGGTATGGGTTCTGAAATGGTACAGCTTACATTTGTTCAAACAGCTTCTCATGACAAAGACCAATATAATAACATTTAAAGTTACTGATATTAGATTTGATATATGTGATGTTTCATCAGTTGTGGATCTGGTCATGATAAATTCAATGAATAGTTAAAATTTATTTCTGTTCATTTTCTTCATTCTTTTATCCCTACATCCCTAAAATGAGGAGAAAGATGGAGCAGAAAGTAAGGAAAGGTAAGGGAAAATAGGATGCAAAAACATGACCGATGGCATCATCACAGCTGAGCTGGCAAGTCAAGTGAGCACTGGCAGAGCCTATAGTAACCAAATGAATGGCTCACTAATTGATCACAACTAGAACCTTCAGGTTTAACATCACTGAAATCAAAAACCATGTGGCGACAATCATTAGCAAAGGTAATCCAGATGACATTCTATATTACTAGAATCCATTTTAATACTATTCTCCCATCTACCTCCTCCATCATCTTCTTCTTCCTGCCAAGAGGTTTCTTCCATGAAAAATCTGTAAGCATTTCTTTTTTCCTGAAGCCAAGCTACATGGCCTGCCCATTGTAATTTCTTTAATCCAACTATCCAAACATTAAAAGGTATGCTCCATATATACTGCATCACTGGTGCTCAGTAAGAAGTTCTTTAGTCAACAAAAACTATGTTATGACTTAAACCCTTCTTACTGAGCACCAAAGACATAATACAATATCTGATATACAATCTGACTTTCAAATACCCGCTTTCTACCTTTATACACAGTATCCAACGCGTTAGTTTTTAGGAAATAAAGAAGTCACATATTTGGTAAATAATGAATGTTCCAATACTGGTATTCATTTTCTGGTCAGAAAATGCTTCACTAAAAATGTGTGGGAAGGTGCATTGTCAGGATGCAAAGCTGAGTCAGTGGGCCAAAGATCTGGTCTGTCTTAAACAATGCACTGCAATTTATATTCCAACTCCAAATTAATAACAGCCAATTCCCTTAACAAAAAATAAGTAAATCACCACTCTTATTGTTGCAGTCACATTTCTCTGATCTCTGAGAATCTGGACTTTTCAATTTAAATTGACATCTTACCACAGTACTAATTTTCCAAAGGTTCTAATAAGAATCTTAATAAAATATCTGAGCAAATTTATTTTCTTAGCTTCTATTTGTTTATGAGATTTTTTATACAATTTTGGTACACACTTCCTTTATTTTGAAATATGTAATCAAAATCATCTTAAAAATTACTCTATTCATATTCTTCTGATATCTTCCAAGCAGTCAACTAACAATCATTTCAGTAACTTCTCATGCCCTATTTCTTTAAGGCCACAACAAGGAAGATGGAATGGGTCAGATATTATTATTTATGAGGGAGAGATTTTACACCATTTAAGCCAGAAAACCTGAAGTGAAACGACCACTCTGGCCACATCAGAATTATTTGATCAGTTCCGTGGGCTATATATTTGCTCTCCGTGTCTGGCAATGCCCGTTTGGGCATTCCGGTGCTGGTGAGAGTAGTTAGTGACCCCACTGACTCTGCACAATTTATACTCAATCCTCATTTGACTGCCGCAGCCATCTAGCAGAGAAGCAGGAGACTTGCGTGAAAAATGAGTTCCGTGGGCTAAAAACACTAAAATGAATCTTTAAGAAATAATGTGTGATTGTACGGACTATATTCAACTGGCGTCCTGCGCCGTAGCCACGTGGTCTGAGGCATCATGCTTCGGACCGGTGATACGGAATGCACGCTGGTTTGAATTTCGGGGAAAGAAATTTCTCATGAGATTTTCGACCGGTGTATGAGACCGGTGCCAACCGAGCATCGTGAGGAAATTGGGGAGCTACAATGGGTAGTGTAATCCGGTCATGAAAACTAGCAATGGCTGGGGGTTCATCATGCTGACCACACACCACCCTATATGTGGTTGGATGATCGTCCACCTCTGCTTAGGCATGTGAATGTGAGGCCAGCAGCCAGCTTTGGCTCTCAGAGGGCTGTTATGGCACAGATTATTATTATTATTATAATATTCAACTGGCCTGGGATAAGGGTTATTGGTTCATCACTGGTTATCATAACGCATCTTCAGGTTTTATAAAAGGTGGTGAACTTAATGAATTGCAGAGTGAATATCAGTTTCTTAAAAAGGCTCAGTTCTATGGAGTTAGTTAAAGTCTCACAAAGATATCAATAAAAGGAGTATTTAGTTGGCTCACTTTAATATCATGGTGCACAATGCTCTGTGAGTGAATGTAGCATACTCCGCTCACAATTTGCTGGAATATGGCAATGCTCTGCTTCACATCCACTGCAGGAGAGTCTTGTGAATTTCTTATGTCCAACCACTGTCTCAATGTTCTTTCACACAGCTGCATTTGCACATACAGCATGGCTGATTCAAACTGCAATAAACATCAGACAAGACCTTAACGGAAGGAGATGAAATCTTTCTGACTATGTATGTACCAGTGACTTTTTGTATTTTATATGTGACTTATTTAATGATGCTGCTAACAGCTAAAAGTATAAAGAGTCAAATGATAGGATAATTAGTGAATGATGAATCAGAAAGAATTTGGAAGGACTAAGAAAACTATGAAAAACCTTGGTCAGAATAACTGGCCTCCAGGCCAAGATTAGTTCCAGGACCTTTCAAACATGAAGAAATGTAAACCACTCAGTAGAGTATTACCAGCGTATAAGCTGCTCTTGTTGCACTAACTAACTACATGGTTTACGAGCCTGAAGGTTCATCACACCGGACCCTGTCCTGGGCCAACAAAATCCAGTCTCCTTCAACTCCTATCTCCCACAGATCCTGCCTGACATTATCCTCCCATCTACGTCTAGGTCTCCCCAGTGGTCTCTTCCCCTCAGGCTTCCCAATCAATACATGGTGCACACTTCTTGGCCCATCCATGTGCGCTACATGCCCTGCCCATCTCATTCTTCTTTACTTAATCACCCTGACAATACTTGGGGAGGAATATAAATTTTTAAGTCTCTTGTTGTACCATATACCAAAATTATCCTTTTATAATATGGAATTTATTATGCCATTTTATGCCTTTCTCCTCACATACTGACTGAACTATATATGTAAGACAAGCCCATGTTGATGGCCAGGCTCACCTCTGTAAATTTTTTTACAAGGTCTTAAGGTAAACATATGAAACTGATGAAGATATACACCGTGGAACAACTAACAGATGAAAATCTAAAATGGGCTTTAAATATATGAAATCAGGTTCTAATTTTACAGATATCACATACAGAAACACACACCTGGAAGAGTGGTTAATGAATTACATTCAGCTATGTTTCTATGAAGTTCACTTTTAGTATTTTATGGTATTATCAGAATGTGAAAACGTGTAACATATTTGCCTCATTACAACTTTAGTCTGAAACACTTGCTATTCAATACTGACTGAAATAACAACTCTCTGGAAGTAAAACCTGAATCTCCAGTACTATTATGTACAATCTGAAGCCAGTCTGATCCTGTTCCCATTCTCAAACCAATTTCCCTAAGATTCATCTTAATATCACTGTCCCATTTCTATAAACATTTTATAACATATAATATTTTTGGCAAAGAGATAATAGCCCTATATCCACCCTGATGCCAGAATGTCACCATGTAATGTGCTAGTACACACTGTCCTATATGAATGAAAATTAAATTATTATTATTATTATTCAGTGTTCTGTCTTATGACAGGTCCATTGCTCTGCCCAAAAAGAGCTCTCCAATTTTCCCTATTCCCAGCTTCTCGTTTTAATTCCTGGAACTTCATCTTCTTTCCTTGTTTCAGATCGTCGGTTAGCTGTATCAGTCTTCTTCCCAGTCCTCGCTTTCCTTCAACCTGGCCTTCGATGATATCACTCAGTAATCCATTCCTTCTCATAATATGTCCCAGCCAGTTAGCTTTCCTTCGTGTAATCGCCTGCAGAATGTTTCTTTGCTCGTTGACTCTCCTCAATACTTCTTCGTTGGTCACTCGATCCGTCCACCTGATCTTCTCTATTCTTCTCCAACACCACATTTCAAAACTCTCCAAGTATTTCTGTTCCTTCTTCCCGAGTGTCCAAGTCTCTGCTCCATACAGCGCGACACTCCATACGTAACACTTCACTAGTTTCTTCTTCATCTCCAAGCCCAACTTGCTAGTGAGAAGTATCCTCTTCTTGACGAAAGCTGCCTTGGCCATGGCTATCCTCGCTTTTACTTCCTTGGTGCATAGGGCGTCCGTCGTGACTATGCTTCCCAAGTACTTGAAATGCTCCACATTCTCCATCTGTTGGTTTCCAATAGCTTCCTTGGCAAGCCATTCCCCGTATAGGTTAAAAAGAATTGGTGATAAGCAGCATCCCTGTCTTACACCTCTACCTATCTCAACGCTGTTGGTGTCTCCTGAGTCCAGTCTCACTTCAACTTTTTTGCTGCATGTACAGGTTTTTGATTAGTCTTCTAGACAATTACATATAGTGAATTAAATTTTGGGGTACCCCAAGACATCAATAATGCTAATAAACTGATACACACATATAATACATTTTAGAAAGAAATCTAAACACTACTTTTCAACATAATATGTTCAACTGGGATAAATCTATCTTTTTCTGAGTCTTAAGGGAAATAAGCACATTTGCAAAAAAGTACAGGTTTCCTGAACAGTATAAAGCATGGAAATATGAAAATATTTTCTTTATTCCTCTCTGGTCTGTGGTGTGTTGTGACAGATGTGATAACTATTTGGTTCTGCAAGTTTGCGGGAACACATAAATCAAAACACTTAAATATCAGGATATGACTTGAAATAAATAACTTGATGATGTGATGATATTGTTCATGAAGGGCATGACATAGGTACTGTGAAAAGAAGCTGAAAAGCCAACAAGCACGTAACACTTTAAGTAAAAATCTCTCTCTTATGTGGTTAATCTAGCAGTGGCTTTCTCAGTTAGGATTTTTGAAATCCAAAAGGAAGTGCAAATATGTCTTATTCTGTAGTACAGTTTCGCTTACTATAAACTTACATGAGCATATGGATTCTCAATCTCCCAGAAATTGGCAATTTTCTTGGCTTCCTGGTACTTCACCATAACTTTATCCACTAACACATTACTGTCATCTGATGAAGTAGAAGATTCATGTGAAGTTTTTGTACTTGGTATCTTGCCTATGCACACAGGTTCCATTACAGAATGTGTGGTTGACGAAACATCATCAGCACTCCCTACATTTGTGTATGAATGAGTAGGTGGCAGTGTTCTCTTCTGCAGACTGACTATGCACAAATTGTTACTGTGGTCACTAACACTTGTTTCTTGATTATTATTGTCATGACGTTCACCAATGCTGACACCCACACTACTGTCACTAAGTCCTTCTTTGTCCCTGGATTTGCTGTTTTTAAATACAATACTGTGAGAATCATCCTCAGTGCTATAGTGATAAATCTTCCTGGAACAAATTTGGTACATACAATTATGCTACTCTGAAATGAAACCACCAGGAGTAAAACAAAAGGCATGAACTACATTGTACAAACTTTCTTACGTTTGCTGTATTGTGCAAAGAGAAACAACTCATGGATACTGTGTACATGTTACAGGCACATGTGACACACAAAAAAGTTATTACTGTCTATAAATAAGAGAAATTTAATAATATAATTTGATTAATTTTTCGGAAAATTATCATTTTGTTTATCGACTTTCATGTAACAGCTATCTTGGTGATGGCTACTTATTCTGTACTAAATTAGAAATCAGCAGTTCTAACTAACTTCTCTGCTGCAGTTCTGTATGTGTGTTGCAATGCATTGTCAGTCTTATCACTACCATCTTCTTCTGAAAATTGACTATTTGTTGTGGAAGATATGGGTTCCAACCATGCAGCTTTATAGGATACAATGTTGGGGTGGTTCAACTTTGCTAACATCTTCACTTCGCGTAAACTGTGTAGAAACCCATGAACACTGCGGTACCTGGAAACACAATTGTATCTGTATGTAACACACGAGTTAAGTTGAGCCTGATTCACAATTGTCAGGAACCCAGTCAAGTCTTGAAAGGTGCACTGCATGTTCTGAATGAAGTTCTTTATGGAATTTCTGTCCCTCCATTTGTGGCTAAACGACTTCTGCGGTTACACAGCATTGTTAAGGAACTCATGAAATCATCACCAGATTTAAACAAATGAATACATGGAAGCCAATATGACTTCTTCTTATGATAAGAATAACTATTTATTTCTGAAGCTTTCTGTCTTCTGGGTTGTTGCGCTGTATAGTCTGGTCGATGGTTACCAACGTTTCAGAGGTCATACTGCCTCCGTCATCAGGGCGATGTCATCGACCAGACTACACAGCGCAACAACCCAGAAGACAGAAACTTCATACTCACCACTGTGAAAACCTCGAATCTTACACATTTATTTCCTACTGTACTAATGTTCACATGCCAGTAAGAAGATTATACTGCCCTGTTATTGTTTATTAAAATGTGTAAAGAAGATGAATTTAATGAAGCAGCAGTTAATATTCTAGCACAGTACAGTAGAATACAGTTGATTTTAAGAAAAATCAAGATGATGAACAGGCATTTTGTTTAGAACAGCAATAAAGCTCACAAATTATGGTATAGTCTTACTGTAGACAGATTTTTTTGACAGCATATTCTACTCCATCAAGTTTGTTTCTGGCTTTGTACACTCGACCAAAACCACCATGTGCAATAAATTCCAGCTGCTCGTACTCTGTACTATAGCGAGAATAGTCACAAGGCAATAGCTTATTTGACATTCCAAGGTTATACCTGTAACAACATAATTACAAAGATTAGGCTCAATAAAAAGCTATTATTAGTAGCAAAGTTAAACATCAGTTATCAGTATATTCCAAGGGATTATTTCTCTGGGACGAAATGTAACAACAGAATGAAGCTAACCATCCACTCTCTTCCATGCCAAAAGCCTATAAATTTAGTTGTTCTTTGTTTCTGATGTGACTGAGCCTTTCCCAGCTGCATTTTTCAAGAACTGACAAGTCCTTGTAGTCAGAATGTGTTTTGCTTACATCAATTAAACATTCCTTACATTATGTTTTTCAGCATTCTTCCCATTATAGCAGGAAGAACACTGCTACCTTTCAACTACCACAGTTCATTACTGCACAAGTTATACACTCACATTTTCAGGAGCGTTCACAACCTTGTTCAGCAACTATTAAAATAATGCCCTGTCTGTATGTTAACTCAAGAACACCCTAATGGATTTCTATGAAATATGAATATGACATTGGGAATTTTTACTAAAATTTGTTGAGCTAATCCAATATTAGTTGAAATAAAACAATGATAATGGACACTTTGCATGAAGTGACAGGGTTGGGTATCTCTAGATGGGGAATTCCTACATGCACAATTACCAGCCAGCTGCACAACCAAGTTGGAAATCCTCCATGATGATGCCATCATCGAACCAAATAGACACCAGAGATCTTACCAATGCAAGATCACTGGTCCCCTCAAAATCCTGACATTACAAAGGTTAATTGTGGAGAATGTGCCAGACTTGCCATCATATGCATACATTTACTTACTCATTAAATAAAAATAATAAATTCTTGTGGATATAACATTACAGATGACAGACCCAGTAATATTTTTAACAACTAGTGTCCTAATGAGAGTTATGAGTGTTAGTGTGACTAAGAATAATTTCAAGCACTGACTGTGATCACTAGTACTGGAAATTTTTTAATATATAAAAATAAGGCACAAGGGACATAAAATGAGGGAAGAGGAAAATTCCTATAGCTCATCAATATTTCACATATTTCATTCTTACAAGCAAGAAAAGATAGCCACAAAATAATGTCACCAAAGTCAAACATGAACAACAGCATACAATAAATGCAAGCACAAAGACTGAGAGGGAACATAATGTATTTGGTTCAATCAGAAATGTTCTCTCATACAACACAACAAAATTTTGGCACTTTTGTCTGTGCAAGTGCAGCAGACAAGATTCTGTGCTGTGCCTGTTTTAAGAAAAAGATGACTAGAAAAAAGTGATTGATATGAAATTAAAGAAATAGTCTGTGGATTTAATTACTGATGTTTTACTTAGTTAAAAATATATTATTTGTGCAGGTGAATGAGAGTATTCATGAATTCTGTAAAGGACATTCTTTAACAAACTGAAACAAACTTACTCAGGGTTAGCGTGGCGGACACTACGAGTTTATTAAATAAGCAAAGACAATATAAGAAAGAATAAATGGTCAAACTCAGGAGCTAGTACATGAATTACCTGGGAAGTTGGAGCAAAACATTAGTTTCATTTTCATTGTTAGCTGTCACAGATTTGGCAACAGTGAATAGATGAAACAGAGCTCTTTGATAGTGGCTGCGCATGAACTCAAATTCCTCCACATTGTATGACTGATCGATGAGGTTCATCTGATGCAGCTTGTGGCAGATAACTGAGAACACAAATACACATATCAAATTCTGATTCATTATTTAAGCATCTAACTCTGGAATTATGCATATCAATATAATATAAAAGCCAGTTTCTTTGTTTGTAATAGTTCAAACTGTGTTTCAAAGGAGAAATATTTAAATAAGCATGCATGTTATGGGAACTCTTCTGCTCGTAATAGGGTTAACATACAAAGTTGTTAATAATAATGCTAAATAGCAAAATATTCTGTGTGAGGACTAAAATATAATTTGCAGTGAGGATGTTCAGTTTCAATACAACCTGAAGCAGACAGTTGCAACAGAATAAGTTCTGTGTAACGGATATTGTATATATTATATTACAAAGTGTAGACATATCCCATTTAATCTGAGTTTGTGAAGTTACTTGGGAATGAAATGTGATATAATAAGTTAAATGACTTCAGCACTTTTATTGTTTCAATGGAAAAAGTTTTTTGTGATGAATATTGTATATTTCTATGTTATGAAGAATGTGTATAATCTTGTTACATTCAAATTTGTAAATTTTTTTAAAAAAAAGGTATATTCAGAGAGCTGGATTTCAAAAACGTGATGTGATATGTGAACTAGAAAGATGGTTACTGTAGCAAGGAGGAGTAAGGAGGACTGAAGAGACTAAAATGTAGGATGAAAAAGAAATATGAGGGAAAGGAGGGAAGGCTATGAATGTGTGAAGCAAATGAAGGAAGGGGAGATGAATAATGTTTTATTTTTATTTATAGTTACAATGCTTTTCAGTATTTCAGACTAAATAACATTGGATGAGAAGATAACAGTAAATAATGAATTTGAGAGGATGTGGAAGGAAGTGGTCATGGGACTTACCTGGAAGGACCGAGCAAGTCTACAAAAAATCTGTCAGGATAGCTCATCTACATGCTGAGATTTGAACCCAGGAACTCACAAATATGATGCAGGAGAGCTGCAATGTTCGGTTGGGAGGAATTATGTAGAAAGGACAAATGAGAGAAATGGAAAATGAATAAGTGAGACAGGAAAGATGAAGATAAAGATATAAAGGAGACAAAGAAAAAGAAACAGAGAGGGTGAGAGATTAATATATGAAAGAAATCATCCCCCAAAGAATTTCAATGGACTTATTTATATATATATATAATGAACCATGAAAAATTCAGAAGCGAAAGAAAATACATTAAAGTCCTGATTATCAGACCTAAATGGGAACGAAAGATGGTTGGATAATATGGAAGGGTATATATGAACTCAATTTATAACATTATTAAGTTACAATGTAAATACAACTCAATGAAGCAACAGAGTACATAAAATGTAGAAGGTGGAGGAGTGTGATTCATTCCACTACATGCCTAGTTGAGTATTGGTAAAATGGAGCATTCTGACATGGCATGTAAGATAAAATGGAATGAATATCAGCTAACTGAAGGTTGGATAATCAGGACTTTACTGAGTTAACATTCGTATTTGCCCTAACTTTTTAAATTGCTTTTGTGTACATTGTCTCCTAGTCCAAAATGCATTTGTAAAGCAAATCTTTATGTGAAACTTAGAGCTCATAACTGCCTTGTTTTTAATACATTATCTACTGACAGGTTCAGATTTTGGAGCAATATGGCTCTCACACTTACGCAAAATCTGAACCTACAACAATGCAAGTTCTGTATAAACAGGCTGCAAGCATGCACTGCATTACTTACAGCTCAACAGCAAAAGTGTTACATTAACTGTTTTCAAGATTACCATTCAAAGTTAGGGCTGGCAATGTTCTGCCATCAGCACAAACAATGCAACTACATGCAGGTATGATATTATTTATTAGGTTAATAAGGATACTTCAACTAGAGTCAAGAGAGTTAAATGTCTAAATGTCATGGAAAGATAATCACAGTGCAACAAATGGCATCACTGACAAAGTACTCTATTGTCAACATAAGATGTTCAATAACAAATGTACAGAGTGACTGATAAACAATTCTTATTTATCCTAGTGAAAACTGTAACTGTTACCATTATAGAGCCTCTTCTGCTGCCCTGGAGTATTTGCCAGTAACTTGCATAATTGCTCAACAAGTGACTGTATCAAGAGGCTCCTTGGAGAGAAATGATTAATGTCTTGCAGCGGTAGGCCATTATCTGCCATACCCATGGCAACTGTACTTCCTGAAACAAGAAGATGACAACTGTCAAAGTCATTATTTATACATCAATGCATTGGTCTTTTAATCACAGAATGTCTCAGTACCTGCAAAACGCTAGGTAGTTCGGTTTCTTGGCCTTTTAACAATTGTAATGAATTTAATGAAATATTATCCATAACACACCAGCAAATACACCAAAATCAGTATTTTTCCCACAGTTCTCACATAATCTGTGAGAATTTCACAACAGTATTTAAACTGACATTTAATCCAAAATCTTTATATATTGTAAAACTCTTTCAATTTCTTAAAACTTTGCATACCGTGTAGTGTATTAGAATATAGAGTAAGCAAACCAACAACTATTAACACTATAATAAGACCCACGGTTCTGGAGTTCACAGGTACAGACGACACAACTATAACTCGCCGAGACCAGCTACGGCCACCGAACACGGGATCAATAGCTAAGTACAAGTTCTACTCCTGTGAATAACAGCATCTAGTCCAGTGTCACTTCGAATATTTTGTCAAATACCCTTTTCATTTTAATTCTGAATCCAATTTGAACCATTTGACTAAATGTATTAATTTCCCTGATGCCATTGATGATGACATCTTGAGGTCGAAACGCATATGATAAGAGTGTCTTATTATCGTCTTGGTTTACTTACTCTATATTCTTTCAATTTCTCTGCAAGGCACTTTTATACAGTTCCTATATAACTGAATGTAGTGGCCAAGTGGTTAGGGCTCCTGCAATATTTTTGATAGGTTCAAGGTTACAATTTCAGCCCAGAGACTGGCTATCCTGAGGTTTGTTATGGTTTTCCACAAGCCCTCTAGGCTAATGCCAGCATAGTACTTTAAATTAGGCCATGACCATTTTCTTGAACATCCTTTTCAAGTCATTAATTATTCTATGACTTGATAATATACAGTCCATGATACTGACCATTTCATTAAATAAAACACAAGTAAATACACAGTTTACTTATAATGTAAAGTAAAGTAAAGTTTGTCCCACTATACGCCATGTAGGCGTTTGGGGTGAGTGGAGGTATAGCTCCTCTCTTCCTTGACCTCGACACGGCTAGAGGAAAAATCCTTTGCCCCCGTCGGGGATCGAACCCCGGCCGTCCAGCCCGTAGCTAGTCACTATACTGACTGAGCTATCCCGGCTCATGTTTACTTATAATTATATTGTATAACATATTTTTCTACAATCAACATTTCTGTCCTGCTGTTACTTTTATCATCATCTGAATTATTATTGTGTTGAACAGAGTACTTCCTTGCATAACCACTATGATCATGTGGAGTCTCTTAGATTTTTTGTTGTTTATGACATGCTGTTTTCATATTAGTCACAAATGTTCTGTACTTTCTCCATAAATTGTTTGGAAGCAACTGCCCCAGAAAACTTTCTAAATTTCCCATCTTCTAAAAACTGATTCCATGTCCATGTCACAAGGAAGGGACAACATTCATGACACGAAAATATGTGAGAACAAAGTACAATGGGGACCCAATCCCTAGCATTTCCAAGGAAGCTGAAAAGTCTGATAGAAACCCTGAAAATGAATGGCTATGGCTAAAGTAAATCTATGACAGGCAGAACGTGCTTTCAAGAAACAACCCACACTCAGGAGTTACACCCTGCCATTCATAATTAAGAATCAAAGCAGAAGCAAAGACTCAGCTAAACAATCCTTACACTATTATCAGTATTACCTGCATCAAAGCTGGTTACAGTGGACAAACCAGACCAATATTGGAGCTCACCACATTGCTGTGAAACAAATTTTGTCTGCATGGTGACCTGTGGCAAAACACAATGTATTTTGAGACCACTGGCTTAGCAAAGCTAGCCCAATATCCAATAAATGGCACTGGTAGTTGACACAAACGTTGAAAGTAGTTCACACATATATCTCATATAAATGATCCCATACAATACAAAATTTCAGAGCTGTAAAATGAACTAATTTCACAAAATACCTAATCCTATAACAATTAATCTTAAATACAGTGATACAGATCATACACTTAAATAAACTTCAGATATAATGCACTACTTTCACTGGAAATTGTGTAACATGCATCTTCTACTATAAAAATTTCTGATTCCCCGTTGTAGTCAAACTATTATGTCATCAAACAATGTTACGTTATATTTGTTTACTCAGCATTGTTGTACCAACACAACAATGCCGAGTAAACAAATGGCTTGAGTAAGACACTAAACTAACCCCAAATGGGGGGGGTAGTTTAGTTTAGTTTGGTTTACTCAAGGGTTAAAACACTTGAATAAGACACCAAACTAACCCCTCTGAAGGGGGGTTAGTTTAATGTCTTACTCGAGATTTTAAAATGAAACCAACCCCCCTGAAGGGGTGGTTGGTCAAGTGTTTTAACCCTCCATTCGGGGGGGGGTTAGTTTAGTGTCTTACTCAAGATTTTAAAATGCAGTTAGTTTAGTTTTTCACTCGGGGGGGGGGGTTGGTTTAGTTTCTTACTCAAGATTTTAAAATGTAACCAACCCCACCGAATGGGGGGTTCATTGCGTTTTAAGAACTTAACCAACCCCCCACGAGGAGCTCCGAAAGGAGCGCTCTGCTCTAGTAAAATAAAAATACAAAACAGGGTGAAATTTCACAAAACAGAGATTATTTAAAATTTACTGACACCCTGTTCTTGAACTCAAGACCTTGATTAAAATTAAAAACTTCAACAAGATAAAAAAATTTGCAACATTTTTCATGTTCCGTTTGTCCCACACACTTACAGGACTGTAATATACAGGTGACTGGTTGTGTGTGAGAGTTCAGATTTTACAGCATTGAATTATAGTATGATTAATGAATTGGAAATTATGTGGAATCAGAGGATGGCTCTGGGTGGGTCTACAGAAGATATGGTTAAACATAAGTACCTTTTTCTTCAGTGCTTTATGGTCTTTACTGGTGATGGGGTGGGGAGGTTTGTTCTAATGTCATGGTGGGGATGGGGTTATAAAGATGCTTGGCCTTTATAAAATACTAGAGCAGGGCGCTCCTTTCGGAGCTCCTAGGGAGGGTTGGTCAAGTTTGTAAAACGCCACCAACCTTGTGTAAGAAACTAAACTAACCG